TTTAGTAAGCTAATCTGTTATTTTTCTTCTTTCTCTTTCCAAAACAGTAACAGACTTGGCATCTTATAGTTTACAAAAGGCATGGTTGAAATATTCACAGAAGAGAGGGAAGGAGTTAGAGTTGTCTTGTATTATTTTGTTGTTAAACTGAAATTTTTCAGTATGTTTAATTGGTTTATCTATATTAAGTAGGACAAGTATAAAACTTTAGAAAAGGGACGTATAACCCTGTTACATATAATAGCTTAGTAGTAGTTGGAACAGTGAGAAGTAACAACATTAAACATTAAAATGGTTGATGACAGCCCGGCCAGGGTAGCTCAGCGGTTGAGCATCGACCTAAGTTCCAAGAGTCTGATTCCCGGTCAGGGCACATGCCCAGGTTGCAGGCTCAGTCCCCGGTCGGAAGCCTGCAGGAGGCAGCTGATCAGTGACCCTCTCATCATTGATGTTCCTATCTCTCTCCCTCTCTAGTCCTCTCTCTCAAACCAATAAAAACATATTTTTAAAAATAAAATAAAATGGCTGATAACAGCAGGATTTAGGGTTGGTACAGGAAAGGTCCATGGAACTTTGAAGGATTCATGTGAAGACTAAACAGAGATGTGTTGGTAATTTTGACAAGGGCTGCTTTCACTAGAGGGTTAGGGCAGAAGTTCCACTTATATGAGTTCAAGAGAGAGCAGGAGGAAAGTCAGTGGAAGTAAGTATGGATAAGTCCTGAGAATCATTGTTATAAAGCAAATAAAGTAATGGAGGAAAGCTAGATGGAAATGTAAGGTTAAAGAAGAGGTTTGTTGATATTTTGCTTTTTAACCCTGGGAAATATTAAAACATATTTGCTTGTGGGTGGATTTTGTCAATTAGAAAGGGAAAGTTAATCATGTAGGGGAGACTGCAGGCAAATTTTCCAGCATTGACTTTAGGTTGGCAAGAAGATAGAAGCTGTTGTATACATTCAGGCTTTGTCTTTAGGTAGGAACGTGGATATTTCATCCATAGTAACTGTGGGAGGGCAGAAGATACGGATATAAATATAGGTAGGTTAGTAATATACAGGCACACCTTGGAGAGACTGCGGTTTCAGTTCCAGGTCCAGACAACACAATAAAGAGAATCATAATCTTTTTGCTGGTGGAGGGTCTTGCCTTCAGTTTGTAAATAAGCAACACTTGGTAAGCACAATCAAGCAAATGGTAAGAGAGGTGGAGGCTTTCTCTTTACCTATTTAAATAACTTTTTATTTTCCAATTACAGTTGACATATATTGGTTTCAGGTATGCAACATAGTGATTAAACATTTATATAACTTACAAAGTGATTACCCTGATAAGTCTAGTACGCATCTGACACCAGGCATAGTTATTACAACATTATTGACTATATTCTCTATGCTGTACTTTACATGTGGTGTCCTTTTTTATATCAGGAAATTTGCACATCTTAATCCCTTCCCCTTTTTACCCATCCCCTCAATCTCCCTCCAGTCTGGCAACCACCAACATGTTCTCTGTATGTATGAATTTGTTTCTGTTTTGTTTGTTCATTTATTTTGTTTTGAAGATTCCACATATCTATTAAATCATATGGTGTTTGTCTTTGTCTGACTTATTTCATTAGCATAATACTCTCTAGTTCCATTCATGTTGTTGCAGATGACAAGATTTCATTATTTTTTTTACGGCTGAGTAATCTTTTTTGTATATTTGTACCACTTCTTCTTTATCCATTTATCTATTAATGGGCACTTAGGCTGCTTCCATATCTTGGCTATTGTAATTAATGCTGCAGTGAATATATGGATGTGTGTATCTTTTTGAATTGTGTTTTGGGTTTCTTCAGATAAATACCCAGAAGTGGAATTGCGTGTCCTTTATCTCTTCTTATAGCCTTTGTTTTAAAGTCTATTTTGTCTGTTATTAGTATTGCTACCCCAGATTTTTTTTTAATTTCCATTTTCATGAACTATCTTTTTCTATCCTTTTACTTTCAGTGTGTGTGTCTTCCCATCTGAACTGAGTCTCTTGTAGGCAGCATATGTAAAGGTCTTGTTTTCTTATCCATTCAGCCTCCCTATGTCTTTTGATTGGAGCATTTAATCCATTTGCGTTTAAAGTAATTGTTGATAGATACAATTATTGCCATTTTATTATTCATATTTTTGATATATAATTTTTTTTCTTAAAGAAGTCCCTTTAACATTTCTTGTAATACTGGTTTGGTAGTAATGAAATCCTTTAGCCTTTTATTGTCTGAGAAGGTCTTTATTTGTCCTTTGATTTGAAATGATAGTCTTGCTGTGTAGAGTAATCTTGGTTTTAGGTCTTTGTTTTTCATCACTTCGGCTATTTTGTGCCAGTCCTTCTGGCCTTCAGAATTTCTGTTGAGAAATCACCTGACAGTCTTACAGGAGCTCCCTTTTAGGTAACTAATTGTTTTTCTCTTGCCACTTTTAAGATTTTCTCTTTGTCTTTAACCTTTGGCATTTTAATTACGATGTGTTTTAGTGTGGGCCTCTTGGGTTCATCTTGTTTGGGATTCTTAGCTTCCTGGGCTTGTATGTCTATTTTCTTCACCACGTTAGGGAAGTTTTCCATCATTATTTTTTCAAATAGGTTTTCAGTTCCTTGCTGATCTGAATGTTGGTATGCTTGATATTGTCCCAGAGGCTGCTTAAACTATGCTTATTTTTTTTTTAGATTCTTTTTTCTTTTTGCTATTCTAATTGGGTGTTTTCTGCTACCTTAGCTTCCAAGTTGCTTATTCAATCCTCTGCTTCATTGAATCTGTTAATTCCCTATAATGTATTCTTTATTTCAGTTATTGTATTCTTCATTTTTGACTGGTTCTTTTTTATGTTTTCCATCTCCTTGTTAAAGTTCTCACTAAGTTCATTGAGCATCCTTATGACCAGTGTTTTGAACTTTGCATATGATAGAAAGTTTGTCTCCATTTTGTTTAGTTCTTTATTTTTAAAGTTTTGTTCTGTTCTTTCATTTGAGACATGTTTCTTTGTCTCTTCATTTTGATTTCCTCCATGTGTTTGTTTCTATGTATTAGGCAGAGCTGCCACATCTCCCGGTTTTGTTAGAGTGGCCTTATGTAGTAGGTGTTCTGTGGGGCCCAATGGCTCAGTCTCCTTGGTTACCTCAGCTTGGTACACCAGGGCTGTGCCTTGTGTGGGTTGTTTGTACCTTCCTGTCTCAGTTGAACCTTGACTGCTGTTGGCATGTCAGTGGGAGAGATTGACCCTCAGGCTGACTGGTTGTGAGGACTGGACATGACCACAATAGAGGAGCTGTTTGTGCAAGGGTTGACCCTACTGAGCAGGATTCACTTTAGCAGGGCTCTGGTGCCTGCAGAGTCTGTCCTTTGGGTGTGTCATTTGTGGAGGTAGTCGGGTGGTGCTCTGGTATAGTCTGAAGCTGGCTACTGGGTTTGTTGGTTTAGATCTTCTTGGGAGGGGCTCTGGTGCAGGCCAAGGTCATCCACTCCCTGTGCCCTGCCCAGGGCCACTTGGTATGAGCTACACTGTAATCTGCAGATAGTTACCCCTTGTTGCCCCATTTGCATGAAGGTGCCTGGGAGAGGCTCAGCTGTGAGGCCAGCTGCTGCTTGGGGCTGCTTAGCAAGAGGTACTTGGCACACTGAGGCCAGATGCTGCTTGTTTGGGGTTTGTGAACTTTTGAGAGACTTTTGGAAAGTCTGCAGCATGAGCAAAGGTAGATCATTTGTATGGAAAAGCCACTGGAATCATCTTGAGTAGGCCTGAAACTTGGATGGGACAGAGTCTCAGAGAATTACCAGTATGGAGTGAATGACGTTAGCTAGGTTGATGAAGACTCATATGTGGCTGGGTGGGTGGAGTGCTCAAAAAAGGAACAATGCCTCTGCCAGCACCTCTGTCAGGGAGAAAGCTGCTGCTCCAACCCACAGCCTAAAGCCAGACAATTCAGTTCCTCCTCATATGTCCCTGGCACTTTTCAAGATACTGCCCCAGTACTAGATCTCAGAGTGAGTGGTCCATCAGCAGTAAGTCCATGTGCAGGCCCTTTAAGAGGAATGCCTGAGACTCCAGCAGCTCTCTGTCTCACTCAGCATAATTTTCACTGGTCTTCACAGCCAGTAGTATGGGGACTTCTTTTCCTGGACCTGAAACTATGAACTAGGGAGCCTGGTGTGGGGCTGGAACCCCTCGCTCTTCAGCAGGGACCTCCTCAACCCAGATATCCCTCCTGGTTCTTAACCTGCACACGTGTATGTGGGACCAACCCATTCAGCATCTCTGCCCTTCCTACCAGTCCCAACATGGTTTCTTCGGTATATCCTTAGTTATAGGACTTCTGTTCAGCTAGACTTTAAGCAGTTCTCAATGATGGCTGTTCTGTAGTTTAGCTGTAATTTTGATGTGGTCATGGAAGGAGGCAAGCACTGCATTTGCCTACTCTGCCATCTTGACTGGAAGCTCCAAGGTTTTCGTCTAATTGTTTGGATTTTCCAGTGAACTTTCGAGGTCTTCAACTTACAGTATCTGAGAGAAGAGGAAAGGAAATGGAATAGGGAAATTAAAAGGAAAGAGAGCTTCAGAAGACCGTATATTTAAGAAAAATACCTGGACTGCTTTGCATATTTATATTACTTGCTTAGTTCTTGAAGTTATTATTGGCATCCTGATTATACCTTTTCTCTATTTTGTAAAATCACTTCTCTCTTATCTCTCAACTCCTTTTTTTTTTTTTGTGGGGAAATAAAAAAATAGCTGTTTTTTTGGACAAGGTTAAGTATCTCTTTGTCCTAATAAAAAGCTAAGTAAACAGTAAAGTTTTTTTTGATGGTCTTCTACCTCTAGATATATCCAGATTCGTAGTTGTATTCATTATTATTAACTGCAGTGTCAAAAATCAAAGAATAAGGCTATTGATATTCTGGATTTTACTTTGGGGTTCCTTTTCAATTTTAGAAAATACTGCATATCAGAATTTTTTTTCTTTTTCTTTTAGATGTTCTTAATAGTTGCTCCTCTTTCTGTCCTCTACAACTGGAGGGATGAATTGGACACCTGGGGCTATTTCAGAGTCTCTGTTTTACATGGTAACAAAAAAGACAATGAACTGATTCGTGTAAAGCAGAGGAAATGTGAAATTGCTCTAACAACTTATGAAACACTGCGCTTATGTCTGGATGAACTTAACAGGTATGGCAAGAATGGGAATGATTGCATTACTGTTCTTACCTCAATTGTATTTATCCCTTTATATTGTNTAATGATTGCATTACTGTTCTTACTTCAATTGTATTTATCCTTTTATATTGTAATTTTTAAAAAAATTTCTACATTTTCTTTAGCATGATTTAATTGCATTTCAGTATTATTGATATTGGCAGTCTATAATAATTAACTTATTTTCTGAGAAGTAAAAAGCTGCATCAGATTTTCCACAGTTTCTTACTCTATTTCCTCTATTACTTCCCCAAGCGGTGCCTGTTAAAGAATGGTAAGACTTGTTCTAAATCTCATTTGCAACCCTTTATGCATATGATGCCTCAAGACTAATACAGTCATTTTCATGAATGATTTTAATTAGGTGAGTCTGTTGTAATGTAGAGTAGCAAAAAATACAAATACATATTGAGAACCACTGTTCCAGTTTCCCTATATCCTTGTCAACACTTGATATTGTCAATCTGTTTTGATGATAGCCATTCAAATAGGTGTGTAGTAGTACCATATGGTTTTAATTTGCATTTCTCTAATGACCAATAATGTTGAGAACTTTTCAAATGTGCTTACTTGCCATTTGTATCTCTTTGTTGGTGAACTATCTATTAAAATAGTTACCCCGTTTTTAAATTGAATTGTTTCAGTTTGTGTTGAGTTATATTTTTTATACTTTCTATGTACAAGCTCTTTACCAGGTTATGATTTGCAACTGTTTTCTTCCAGTCTACAGCATGTCTTGTCATTTTCTTAATGGTGTCTTTAAGACCAAAAGTAAAAGTTTTTAATTTTGAGTCCAACTTATTAAAATTGTTTTGGTGTCATATCTAAGAATTGTATGCCTACCTCAGTCCCAAGATTTTTTCCTCACATTTTATAGTTATAGCTCATATACTTAGTTCTATGATCTATTTTGAGATAATTTTTGTGTATGATGTAAAATGTGGGGCTACAAAAAATACCTTTCCTCCCACCTTCTAAGTTCTTCTAGCTGGACTAATAATCAAATTGACATGAGACAGATTAACAAGAGAAAATGTCCAAAATGTATTGTGGCTGTCCATTTAGGGTGCTGTAGATAAGAGGCCTGAAGGCGCGTTGGGCAGTTCAGGTTACTTGGCCACTTTGCACGCAGAAATAGAGGGCAGGGGTCTGGGATTTCTAAGGGAGAGTAGGCAATTTGCAGGTACACAAGAAAGTGCAAGCAAGTGGTAAACAAACTTCGTCTGGGCCACCCAGAAACAGTGGGACACAAAGGAATTTGGCAAACAGAGTTTTGTTGGGTCCTCCCTGTTTGTCACACTTGATTCATGTGTGCTGTGGTGACTGTGCTCAGGTGACTGCGCTCAGGTTCCCTTCCTGGAGTAGGTTTCTCTGTCTGAATTCCTTTAGGCAGGAAAGGGGAGATCAAAGATTCTTTCTGAATCTTTTGTTTCTTAGTAACCAGTTTAAAATTAATATCCCTGCCCTGGCTGGTTTTTCTCAGTGGTTAGAGCATCAGCCACAGACTGAAGAGTCCCAGGCTTGATTCCAGCCAAGGGCACTTAGCTTGGTTGCAGGCTTGATCCCCAGCCTCAGTCGATCACATAGATGTTTCTCTCTCTCTCCCTTCCACTTGCTCTGAAAAGCAATGGAAAAAATATCCTCGAGTAAGGATTAAAGAAAAAAATTCATATCTCTAAGGCATACTTTGAGTGGCAAGACTTTGGTTCCCCTCAGAGGTAAGGGTCTAAATTATTTTTCTTTCATAGAACTTCCTGGGTTTTTACTTATTCAATATTTTATGCTCAGTCATAGTCATTCTTGATGCTCAAATTTTCTGATTAGGCTGGATCCTGGTCCTTTGGACAGGCCCCCATTTGCCTTTGGGCAGCTGTACCTTCTGGTTCTTCAGTATTTCCCCTGCTGCATACTTGAAATCAACCACTTGTCCATGAAGCTTTTAGTGGACTTACTGCTGTGGGTGCTCATTGCTACTGGGGTAACCATCAGCTCTAAACCTTTTTAGCACACACAGCTATAGAACACAACTTTCAAAATCATGAGTTTATATTTATTTTTTCCATTTAGATTTAACATTGCAAGTATTGCTTCCTATATTTTATATTTATTTCTCTTGTTTGTTGCTCAAATTTTTTTTGTCATTTTAGTGATTTGTTTAAATGAGTTTCTTATTCCACCATTATTACACAGAATCTCTGTACCCTTTTGTCTCCATATACATTTTATTTTCATGGGTTGTCCTAACCTGTGACCATTGAACTAACTAGGTAAGGTTGTTGTGGAATCATCACATAATAAAGGGGAAAAATCCAAAATTTGGGTAGAGAAAGCTGCTTTCTAAAAATTATATAGGCTAAGAAAAGGACGTTTTCCCAACCTCTCTCCCCGTTTTTTCTCACTTAATAGTTTGGAATGGTCAGCTGTCGTTGTGGATGAAGCTCATAGAATCAAGAATCCAAAGGCTAGAGTCACAGAAGTTTTGAAGGCTTTAAAGTGTGAAGTTCGCATTGGCCTCACAGGAACCATCCTTCAGAACAACATGAAGGAGCTGTGGTGTGTTATGGACTGGTGAGTGGAACACTTTCTTTTTTAGAAAATTATTCGATACATCTCATTAACTTAATGTTACCTTGTTTGCTAATTACTCATTTCTGGGGGAAAACAAAATTATTTGTCTGTTTACATAAGTGTTTGATCCCAAACATAGTACACAGAATAAAGAGTTGTATGAAAACCTATCTTTATATATTACTCTTGGTCCCTGAAGTAACTATCTGAACTAATTTACCAATTTTATCATCTTATAGTTATTTACTGAAAAACTGTCATAAAGAAAGAATGTTATGTTTACTTGCCTTTTGTTACTTCTGTCATTAACAAACAAGTGACTTAGTCTGTTTCTTAGAAGCAAAAAGAAGCCAGTGTTTTTCCTTTTAGATGATTTAATAAGGCCCTAATATTTTTCTTACTGCCTTTATGAAGGGCTGTGCCAGGACTTTTAGGTAGCAGGATCCACTTCAAGAAGCAGTTTTCTGACCCAGTAGAGCATGGTCAGAGACACACAGCAACGAAAAGAGAACTAGCTACTGGCCGGAAGGCCATGCTAAGGCTCGCAAAAAGGATGTCCGGATGGTTTCTCAGGCGTACCAAGACTCTCATCAAGGATCAGCTGCCTAAGAAGGAAGACAGGGTAAGAACTGCATTTGTATTAATTTCTAAGTGTGTTTTATTTTTTTTCTGAAAAAATTATTTTTAAGAGGAAATCTCTTGTGATATTTTTTGAATATAGTTTTTGCCTCTTAGTGTGAAAAAAATTGCTTTATGCACAATTTCAGAAAACATCAAGCCCAATCATTTTCCTTACTAACCTGTCAGCTCACAGGTATATTGTTAGTATACATTAAACTCATTTCTCTTATTTTAGAACAAAAATACTTATTATATAATTCTTCCTCAGTGAAGAAAGAAGAGCCTCTCTTCCTAATGTGTTTTCTGTTCATATTTTGTAATTTCTACATTCTCTACTATCTACAACTCAGTAAATTCTTTGGTACCTTAACTCTAAGTACAGGTCCAAAATGACTAAAAACTTTTTGTTGTGATAGATTTATTTCTTATAGAATGCTATTTTCAGTGACACAACTAACCTAATTTTACAACTTTTTAGGAAAATTACAATTAAGTTCTATTAAATGTTTAAGAAAATTTAAGGAGTTGACCTTAGGAGGATTTTTTTTTTTTTTTAAATAATAGTAGTTTTCTTTTATAGTTTTTAATTGTGTGGTTCTTCTAGCTCAGGCGATGGAATAAAAGTTCTATAAATTACTGTGAATTAAATCTAATTAATGGTGCCCCAAATGAGGGCAGTCCTATCAAATATCCTCTAGTCACCCTAGCTGGTTTGGCTCAGTGGCTAGAGCATTGGCCGTGGACTGAAGGGTCAAGGGTTGGATTCCTGGTCAAAGGCACGTACCTTGGGTGCAGGCTCGAGGGAGCGTACGGGAGGCAGCCAATCAATGTGGCTTCCTCACGTCAGTCTTTCTCTTCCTCTCTCTCTCTCTCCCTTCCACTCCTTCTGAAAAGCNCTCTTCCTCTCTCTCTCTCTCCCACTCCTTCTGAAAAGCAATGGAAAAAATATCCTTAGGTGTGAGGATAAAAAAATACCTTCTAGTCTTTGGATATCCCATTGATTATTACTTTAAAACGATGAATTTGAAAGGAATAATGACACTGATCTGCAAGTTAGGGAAACTGATATGACATTTGACTTTTTTTAATCTAAAGCAAATATTATTTAATTTAATTCATGTACCTCCACTTTTTAAGAATGTTTTGTGTAATTTAATGTATATTATTTAGTTGTCTATCTAGTAGGGACAACAAACCATAAAAATATTAAAAGAAAGTTGCACATAGAAGTTTAGAGATTGTACTCTGAAATTATATATCACAGGTTTGAATCCTTGCTCCCCAATTTATGAGTTTTATGAACTTGAGCAATTTGCTGAGTCTCTCAAACCTTGGTTTCTTTATGTTATACGGGAGTGGTGATAACAGTGCCTGCCTCATATGGTTGCTCTAAAATGTGTAACATGTAAGAAGTGTTCAGTAAATGTTACTACATGTTGTAATAATACCAGCTCAACAATAAAATACTCGAAAGTTGCCCAGAGAATAGATTTTAATTGTTTTCATCACAAAAAAATTAAAATGTCATTATGTGAAGTAATGGATGTGTTAACTAACCTTATTGTTGTGGTTATATATGAATATGTATGAAATTCTTATGCTGTGCACCTCAAGCTTACACAATGTTTATGGCAACTATATCTCAGTAAAGCTGGGAAAAAATAGTAATAACTCAAATTTCCTCCATACCTTCATCATTGACCCATCTTCTTTCTATATTCTCTTTTTATTCTTACATGTACTTTTTATTCAAGCAGAGTCAAGATATAGCTCATATTTTATGTTTATATTTTTTAAATCTAGCATTATTTTATACAGACATCCCTGTTTTTGCTCTATGCACATTTTTGTCTTTTTTTTTTTTTGACAGTAATATTCTATTGTAGTGATATACACATCTAAGTACTTATAAATAAATGGCTTTTCCTCATATTGATCAAAGTCCTATTTTGCGTATATTTAGTTTTATGACCCTAGTTACATACACCTATAGCTAGAAGAATTTTACCAATTTACAGTGCTACTGGAAATATAAGGTAAATTGTATCCAGTAATTTGTGGCTTTATTTTATCATTTTTTTCTCTTTTTGAATTTGGGCACAAAATAGCAAATTGTAGTTGCTCTTTTGGGTATTTACTTAACTCTTATCATTACTAATTTTAGGAATTTATAGGAAGATATTAAATACAAATACTTTAGCTTGTTTTTAGTAATAGGGGTTTTTGATATTTTTCTAAGTTGTCCAAGTAATTCAGTAATTATAATTCATACCATTGTTCTAAAATTTTTTATTGTTTCCTACCTAGTTTTTTATTGACCTAAATTTTAATCATTTATTTGAATGATAGACTAATAATGTGGAACCCTGAAAACACCCACAATTGTGAGAAATATACAGGGTGAGGCAAAAGTAGGTTTACACTTGTTCATATGGAAAATAATACAATAATTAATAAATAACACAAGAATAAACTCTGTATGTCGTGTCGTCACAACTGTAAACCTACTTTTGCCCCACCCTACATAAGGAAATCTCATAAGTTATTTTTTTCATATTTTGATTCCTTTTAATTAAAAAATTACTTGGAGATTTATTTGAAAATCTAGTTATAATTTGTATAGTTTTCGGTAGGGTGCTGGCAAAGAACATAGGAGAATTGGGAGAAATTGTCATAATCATGTATCTAGAAGAAAAACAGTTTATGCTCAGTTTTCACCATTGCAACCTATGACTTTTGATGTGCATTGTGATTGTTGCTNCTTAGTTTATGCTCAGTTTTCACCATTGCAACCTATGAATTTTGATGTGCATTGTGATTGTTGCTGCTATAGGAAAAATACTAATAATTNTTTATGCTCAGTTTTCACCATTGCAACCTATGACTTTTGATGTGCATTGTGATTGTTGCTGCTATAGGAAAAATACTAATAATTACCTTGTGCTCTTCTTGGCAGATGGTCTACTGTTCCCTGACAGACTTTCAGAAAGCTGTCTACCAAACGGTGTTAGAGTCTGAAGATGTGGCTTTGATACTTAAATCTTCTGAGCCCTGTACCTGCAGCAGTGGCCGAAAGAGGAGAAACTGCTGTTACAAGGCAAGCGTTTCACTCTGAGATCTTTGCTGTCCTGCTTTGATTCCATAGTGCTCTATTGTAAGTAGCGGTTTTCCTCAGACTTTTCTGTACTTTAGAGGTCGTAAGTTAATAAAAAGGGATAGTTTTTAAAATTTTTTACAATATCAGATAATCACAGCAAAATACAAGATCCAAATATATTTTTAAAAAACTAGTTTTTGAAAGTAGATTCAATTTGATATCCTGCATTTTCAGGAAGTCTCATTATCGACTAAGAGTCAACTTATTCTCTCATCACAGGCTTACAGTCTCATTCTGATGTGAGATGTAGTGTTATCTTCATAGAAACTGTGCACAATATAGAAAGTGTTCTATTTTTATTTAGAAACAAATATTTTTTACCTTCTATCTGTATTTCCTGCCCCGTTTTCACCTCTATTTTATTATCAAGTTACCTGTCATACAGCTTCATACACAGAGGGACCACACATAAATATTTATCTAGGTGGATATTTATTGTATCTCTCATTTATTTTGCTGTTTTTAACCACTTCAGTTTTTTGCATAGCCCAGGTTCCTAGGAAACGCTGGAATATAAATGAGAGGCGAGAGTAAAGGCGTCTACACAGCACTGCCGCCCCACCGTGCAGTTTCATTAGCAGGAGCCCCTGTGGCAGCATTCCCATGGCTGTAGCAGGGGGATGAACACTTCCTGGAGTGAGGATACTCTCCCCGCTTTGGTTAAAAGCATCTCTGTGCTGTGGCTCACCAAAAGTGTGATTCCATGTTAGCGATTCATGGATATGTGTGTAAACAGCTGACCATCATTTTCTCAGAATGTATTGTGCCAGCAGTAACCCAAAAATATTATTGCAAGTGATACTTTTGTGATATAAGTAGTTACATAGTCATGTTAGTCCTTCGCTTGTTTTCATTTTCTGTATTTCTCTGGTTGCAGACCAACTCACATGGTGAAACAGTGAAAACCTTGTATTTCAGTTACCTCGCGGTCCTTCAGAAGGCAGCTAACCACGTCTCGCTACTGCAGGCCGCCAGCACCTCCAAACAACAGGTGTGGGTCGCCTTTTAAAATGCCTTTGTGATGCTATCTGGTATAAATATTTTATATTTGATATGAAATTTCCTAACCAAATATCTTCAAGTTATATTTGTATGAAATTTAAGAGGAAACTGGCTTGCTCATTTTTTAATTTACACATCAAAGAAGTATATTTAATCAAAGTGAGAAAATTTAAACAAGTTAAAATAACTCTTTTAAAAATTTTTGTATTCAATTCATACAGCTTTAAATGTGTTAAGTTGACATTTCTCTTCATCTACCTCTTTTTTTTAAGGAAACACTCATCAAAAGGATATGTGACCAGGTATTTTCCAGATTCCCAGATTTTGTGCAGAAAAGCAAAGATGCAGCCTTTGAAACACTTTCTGACCCAAAATACAGTGGAAAAATGAAGGTAAGTGCTCTTCTTTCAGTTTGCATACGCATAAGGATGATATACAAAATATTTATCAAATGGTATGGCAGGGACACCAGCGAATCAGAACAGATCCCAAACGTTCGGAAGAGACGGTAGCCCAATGGTCTAGTTGTCTGCATTTACTAGCTCACTAGGAACCTGCATCTGGTGGGTTCTCAATTAGAAGTAGTTATATGAAATATACTTCAAACTCTCCCATTGTATTGGATTCATATCCTCTTGAAAATGTGTGCTGTTGCTACATGTGTAATTATTTGTCGTCAAATTTTTAAGGAGATAATTTACCAGGTATATAAATGCTAATGCCACGTGGGAGGATGGGGATAGGTAGGCTCTCAGAATTAGAGAAACTTCTTGAAGAGTTCTCTGGGTTCTCTATGAGAACTCTGAGTTTTCTAGGCCTCTGTGTCTAGACTGAATTTTCTGTCTCTTGTTTTTTCCTGCCATCCTAGCTTACAAGGTTGTTATATGTCATTTGTGCAAGGGAGCATTTGTTGTACACTGGGAAACTGACCTGTAGGTGTGCTCTTGGTGATGAATTACTGAGGGAAGGGTCTGAAAAGTAAGGCTAGGTTTCCCAACCATGACCCAGGCCTCTGGGCATTGCCTGTCACGGCTGCATGAAATACAGTTTCTAGCCTCCTAATAGCAGAATTCAATTGTTTAACCCTTTAAGAACTGTCAAAAATCTTTATTTATGGATTCAGAGGTTTTTACAGAATGATTTCCAACTTTATGTTTTAATCTTTTGGCAAAAAAATAAAAATAAAAAGGAAGTAATTCAAGGTAGTGTTTTTTCCTTTGAAATCCTGGAAATATTTTTAGCAGTTAGTCTGCATAAGTTCACCATAGTTTAGTTTGCCCAGACCTCTAAATGCAATGGTATAAAATGTAAACTAGGAAGAGTACCTTAATACCTTGTGAGTGTATTTTTTCTTACTGAGCTATAATTGACATATAACATTGTATTAGTTTAAGTATGCAATAATGATTTGATACATGCAAATATTTTGAAATGATTCCCACACCACAATAAGCCTAGTTAACATCCATCACTTCACATAGTTACAATTTTTTTTTCTTGTGATAAAAACTTTAAGATCTGCTCCCTTTTAAATACACAATATGGTATTGTTAACTACAGCCACCGTGCTGTACACTATATCCCCAGGACTTGTTATCTTATGGAAGCTTGTACCTTTTGACTACCTCACGTATTTCACTTGTCCCCCACCCCCTGCCTCTGGCAACCGCTAATCTGTTCTCTGTACCTACGACTTTGGTATTTTGTTTTGCTTTAAGAGTCCACAATATTTGTCTTTGCCTGACTTATTTCACTTCACATAATTCCCTCAAGGCCTATCCATGTTGTCACAAGTGGCAGGATTTCCTTCTTTTTTTATGGCTGAATAATATTGCATTTATCATCTATTTGTCTATCTATCTCTCTATCTATATCACATCTTCTTTGTCCATTCATGCATTGACATTTGCGTTGTTTCCATGTCTTAGTGTTGTAAATAATGCTGCGGTGAACATGGGGTGCTGATGTCTTTTTGAGATGGGTCTCATTCTTTTGCATGTGACTGTCTAGTTTCCTTAACACCATTTATTGAAGAGACTGTCTTTTCAGCATTGTAAATTCTTGCCTCCTTTGTTGCAGACTAATTGACCATATATGTATGGTTTCATTTCTGGGCTCCTGTTCTGTTCCATTGATCTGTGTCTGTTTATATGTCAATACTGTACTCTTTTGATTACTATCACTTTGTAATATAGTTTGAAATCAGGACATGTTATGCCTTCAGCTTTGTTTTTCTTTCTCAAGATTGCTGTGGCTATTTCAGGTCTTTTGTGGTTCCATTAAAATGTTAGGATTGTTTGTTATATTTCTGAGAAAAATGCCATTGGGATTTTGATAGGGGTTGCATTGAATCTACAGATAGCTTTAGGTAATATGAACATTTTAGCAATATTAATTTAATCCATGAGCACAGAGTAGCTCTCCTTTTATTCATGTCTTCTTCAATTTCTTGCATCAGTGCCTTAAAGTTTTCAGTGTATAGGTCTTTCATCTCCTTGGTTAATTTATTCCTAGGTATTTTATTATTTTTGATACAGTTGTAAATGGGATTGTCTTCTTAATTTCTTTTTCTGATAGTTCCTAATTAGTGTATAGAAATGCAACTGATTTTTGTATATTTACTTTGTATCCTGCAACTACAGTGTGGGGCAAAAGTAGGCTTACAGCTGTGAGTGCGAGAAAGAGTTTATTCCTGAATTATTATCCATATGAACAACTGTAAACCTACTTTTGCCCACCCCTGTATACTGAATTTGTTTATTAGTTCTAACAGTTTTGTTTTTGTTTTTGTGGAGTCTTCAGGGTTTTTCTATATATAATGTATAATCTACAAGTAGAGGCAGTTTTACTTTTTTCTGATTTGGATGCTTTTTATTCTTTTTCTTCTCCCTCCCTCCCCCTCCCCCTTCTTCCCTTCCTTCCTTCCCTAATCGCATAGGACTTTCAGTGTTATGTTGAATAAAAGTGGCAAGACTGGGCATTCTTGTCTTATCTCTGATTTTAGAGGACAAGCTTTCTGTTTTTCACCATTGAGCATGTTGGCTGTGGGATTGTTATATATGGGCTCTATTATGTTGAGGTATGTTCCCTCCATACCTACTTTGTTGAGAGTTATGTATTTTTAAAGTAAGTATGTTTGGCCCTAGCCAGTGTGGCTCAGTGGATTGGGTGTTGTCCCATACACTGAAAGGTTGCTGATTGGATTCCCAGGCAGGGCACATGCCCGGTTTGCAGCCTCTGTCCCTGGTAGGGAGGCATGCAGGAGGCAGCCAATCAGTGTTTCAGTCTCACAGCGATGTTTCTATCTCTCTCTCCCCCTCTCCCTTCTCTCTCTCTAAAAATCAATAAAAAAATCTTAAAATATATATATACACACACACATATATACGTTGGTTCTGGTGAGAATATTCTCTGATTAATTATAACATATTTCAAGTATAAACAGATTTTCTAACAATGGTAAATCTATTTTTCTCATNTAACATATTTCAAATATAAACAGATTTTCTAACAATGGTAAATCTATTTTTCTCATCCATTTTATTGACTTTTGNATTATAACATATTTCAAGTATAAACAGATTTTCTAACAATGGTAAATCTATTTTTCTCATCCATTTTATTGACTTTTGTTATTTTAAATTAAAAAATATAAAAAGCCCTGTTAATTTAGAACCGAGTACTAATTATCCCATAACTTAAGCCAATAGAATATTTCCAGAAATCATGGTTTCCATTGAAAACTGCACTATCTATTACTATTTATTTAAATTTTATTCATTGTGACTTTTTACTAAAAAGTTACCACTTTTGAAATTAAATGAAATTTTATAGCTCTGCACTTGATATTCATATATAATCATTAAATATATGATTTAAAACATACTGTTAATTAGAGTTTATAATTAGGAATAATAGTGTCTGATTAAGATAATTATTGCATTTATATTTTATTAAGATTTTTAAAGTGTAAAAGCAAGCATAAAAATTGTTGCTGGAGGCTAGGTGGCTTTATATGTGAAGGAAGTATGTAATTGATTTGTTTTGTGAGAGAGCACCAACAAATCAGAGACCTTTCATAATAAACTAGGGTTATATTTTTAAGGCTGTGTCTCATCATTTGATTAGCAACATCATGTGGTGATTTAGTGATAGAAAATCTATAGGCTTATTATGGAATTATTGACTGTGGAGTTAAGAACGCCAAGTTGCATGTACTTCTTTAATCCAGGTGATAAAAGATCCTAGTTCTGTTTCTCTTGTTATAGGTTAGCCTACAGGTGCAATTTATTTGTGGGCATAATGCCGACTGTGCCCTTCATAGCCTCAGAGCTACACTCATGAAGTCCAGCTCTTTCTCTTAAGTGTAAGTGTCTTTGTTGACCTCAACAACTCTTCAGGGGGATGGTCACAAGTTGCACTCATTTCCTTGATAATAATCCTCATTTTTCTTTCCCTTAGGAAATGCCACAAAGCCACTTACTGTGGGAGGTGGGGGGGAAAAAACTAGGAAACCCAGTTTAATGCTGCTGGAATCATACAAGGGTCACATTAATCTCTATGCCTCACTAATTTGAGTAAATTTAGATCCAGGATTCCTTAGCTGTGAACATCCCCAAATTTAATATTCCTTTTTAGGTGGGTTGCCCTGGTCTGTGAAGGATGAGTGATAAAGCATTGGGTCTGTATTGTTAAGACTCCAACCTATAGTGACTACACTGCCATTTCTGAAATTTCTAATAAGGGATATTAGTTTATAGTTATTCATTTAGTTAATGAGTGTTTTTTTATTTTTTGAACAACCTAATAAAGACCTCCAGCCCAAAAGTATTCGCTTTTCTTATTACTTGTTTTTGTTTTTACTGTAAGATATTCAAGAATACCTGAAAATGCAATAGTTATGATACTGTACTACCCCAAACAATCAGAATGGATTTCTGTGCAAAATATCCTTGATTTAAAATATTCCTGTTTTGCCTGGCCGGGCATGGCTGAGCGGTTGAGCATCAACCTAGGATCCAGGCGATCAGGGTTCGATTCCCGGTCAGGGCACATGCCCGGGTTGTGGGCTCCATCCCCAGTCAGGGGTGTGCAGNGTTCCTGTTTTGCCTGGCCGGGCGTGGCTGAGCGGTTGAGCATCAACCTAGGATCCAGGGGATCAGGGTTCGATTCCCGGTCAGGGCACATGCCCGGGTTGTGGGCTCCATCCCCAGTCAGGGGTGTGCAGGAGCAGCCGATCAATGACTCTCTCATCATTGATGTTTCTATCTCTCTCTCCCTCTCCTTTCCTCTCTCTGAAATCAATAAAGATATATTTTAAATATTCCTGTTTTAAGAGAATAAGTCAAGCTACAGACCGGGAGAAAATATTTGCAAAACAATAAGAGGCTGGTGTCTAAAACATACAAAGAACTCTTAAAACTCAACCATAAGAAAACAAACAGTTCAATTTAAAAAAGAGCAAAAGACCTGAACAGATACCTCACACAGAAGATATACAGATGGCAAATAAGCAGAAGGAAAGATGATCACCATCATATGTCATTAGGGAATGACAAATTAAAACAATGAGATACTACTACATACCTGTTTGAATGGCTAAGCCCAACACCAAATGCTAGCAAGGGTATGGAACAATAGGAACTCATTTGTTGCTGATGAGAATGCCAAATGGCACAGCCACTTTGGAAGACAGTTTGCATTTTCTAATAAAGCTAATTGTACTCTTACCATACGATCCAGCAATCACACTTATTGGTGTTTACTCACATGCATTAAAAACTTATGTTCACACAAGAGCCTGCATACAGATGCTTGTGGCAACTTTATTCATAATTGCCAGAACTTGGAATCAATAAAGATGTCCTTCAGTAGGTACATGGATAAGCAGACTGTGATCTGTCCAGACAATGGAGTATTATTTAACAATAGAAATAAATGATCAAGTTATGAAAAGACACAGAGGCACCTTAAATGCATGTTGCTAAGTGAAAGAAGCCAGTCAGAAAAGACTACATGTGGCATTCTGGAAAAGGCGAAACTATTAAGAGAGTGAAATGATCAGTGGTTGCCACAGGCTTGCAGGGAAGGAGGGGTAGATGGGGCACAGGGAAATTTTAGGGTAGTGCAACTATTCTGTGTCATACTGTGATAGTGGATACATGGCATTATACCTTTGTTAAAATCCGTAGACCTGTACAACACAATGAGTGAACCCTAATGTGAACTGTAAACTTTAGTTGATGATAATTTATCAGTGTTCATTCATCAGTTGTTGTAAATGCACCACCCTAATGTAAGATGTTAACAGAGGAAGCCGTGTAGGGAGGGATGGGAGTGGGTGGAAGAGGGAGTCTATGGGAGTTCTCTGCATATTCTACTCAATTCGTTGCTCTAAAAAATAAAGTATTAATCTTTAAAGTTAATGTAGTATGTGAAATTAAATGCGTATACTTCATATAGCATCATTTATTTTATAAAAAAATAAAGCTAATGTCAATAAAACTACTTTATGTGTTCTCCAGGTTTTAAAATAATTTTACCTGATCTGTTACATTTTTACTCAACATTTGATTGGTTATCTGAGTAGATTTTTGTTTTAATTTCATAGCTTTTTTTGAGGGATTACAGGGTAGAGGTCAGAGTTAGGACAATGTCTTCTCTTGCTCAAATATTAAAAGAGTGTTATACTGAGTATAATTTTTAATTTAAAGGGTTAAATGTTTACAGTTGAATAAATAAAATTACTAAGTGTTTATTGCAGAGTTCCAGAAAAACCTTAGACTTTGTTCAGTAAGTTCCTTTTCTTTCCTTTGTGGGTTGCTTTTCCACAGTGTTCTAGAGCTATCATTGTCAGATGTGGAAATGCCTGCTTTTAAAATAATAGTATTAGTATTATAAATAGGCTTTGGATTATTTGCTTCCTCCATAAAAGCACTGTGTATAGGGGCAGATTATTGGCATTTTGAGATCAAAATCAAATCTGGAAGTCAGGGCTTACTGTAAATCGAGAAACAGAGAGGAGAAAATGAGAAGAGGTATATATCTGACTGATTATTTTAAGAAAATAAATATCAAGACTTCTAGAACCTAGATATAATTAAACACATTTCATTGCATCTATCTAGGGAAAATTTAAATACTTCCTAAAAGTAATGCTGCCCTGTAATTTAGTTTCTGACCATATTGTAGGTATAAAGAAAGTGTATTTTAGAAATTAAACTATTCCATTTAAATTTGTCTCATAATCTAAAGTGCTTCCTTTTGATCAAAGCAAGATGAGGTGAAATAAAAGTCCTTGGGCACTTCACCTCGTTTTTTACAATGTGATGGTGAATGACATTTCATAGAACATCTAATACTTTATTTCTCTGACCTCCAAAAATGAAGGAAGGCTGACAGGTTATGTTATATAAAAGCACTTTTAAAGAAATTCTCAAGTGATGTTTATATGTACAAAGTGTACATATTTTTTAGGTGCTAAAACTTGGTTTTGAACTTTTATTAAAAATATATATTTGCAAATATATAAAATTTAGGCTGAAAAATGCTGATTTGAAAATATGTAATAACCTAATGTTTGCAAACATACACAGATGCTATAAAACTCATACCATTAAAAATGGTAATGATGCAATATGTGCTAATGGAACAAAAATCTTGCTGTAATTCCAGAGCTTCCCCTCCCTACATTTCAGGGAACTGAGGCTCTGAGAATCACATAGTTAAAAGAAAAACACAATTTTGAACTTTCCCCATTCTAAGTGAACAATATTGCATCTTCGCATTTAATGAAGATATGAAATAAAAGCCAAGTGAAACACTGCACACCTCTCTCTTGCTGAAAATCAGGCTCCTTGAGGCCTCAGCACACTCAGGGAAAACGTTCTCAAGCACAGCTTTTAAAAAGCCCAGTGTTAGTCACTTTCCTTGGTGCAGATCTTAACATTTTAGACACCTGAAAACGCAGGGCACAAGAAAGGTACTTTGAATACAAGCGAAGAAAACCAAAGTTAGGTAAGAGAGAAACACATGCTCAGCAGCAAATGTGCAGTGAAAATGCAGGACACGCGTGCCTGGTTCCTTGTCTTCACTCACGTGGACGGGGCCCACTCGTGCCTGTGCCACCTCTCGTGCCTCTGTTTCTGCATTTGCCCAGAGTTACAGTGTGATGGCTGGTTTTGTTTCTTTAAGCAGTTAGGCACCTTCCATTTCATGTTGCATTATTAGTAATACAATGGCAGTTATGGCCTCTACTACCAAAATGAGAAAATTTCAAACTACCAACTACATTCTTTGGGGAGGAGAGTACTAAAGCTGCATTGCTTAAAAATATTTACCTAATAGAGGATTTGATGGGGTTTATAATTTTACAAGAAAGCAGAGGCAGAAAAAAAGAACAAATGCTTGACATGCAAACGTGGGTCAGATATATTCTATACTAAGCCTGCGCATCTCGGGCAGAGAAGGACCCAGGTCAGCTTAGGCTCCTAACAAAACCCCGCCCTGTGATGGCGACCGAAACCCCTAGAAGGAAGGCTGTGACATTCACACGCAGACAGCGCAAGATGCTTCTCCTGACACCAACGGTCATTTGACAGCAGGATTCAAACTCACACCTTACAAATCTCAGGGGGGATGCACAGTGATACAAAGGGTTCTCTTCACTGGAACTGGCTCACTGAAGTCCTGTGGTTCATTTCCAGGTCCTTCAGCAGCTTTTAAATCACTGCAGGAGGAACAAAGATAAAGTTCTTCTCTTCTCCTTCTCCACCAAGGTGAGTTTGTCTTCTTGGTCAGCCCAGCCTTAGTGCTGAAGCAGGAGCCTCAGATCCAAGGCATCCAGCCGTGTCTTCTGTCTTACATGCACTGGAGGAAATGGTAGTGAGGGAGGCAACTTCCAAATCTCGGTTACATCGGGGACGCTGTCAAATAGCAAACGCACAGATTCTTAATTTTCTGTTGTTTTTGTTGATAATTAAGATGTTCTTCAGGAGATTTAAGAGATTTTTAAATGTAGAAAAGAACATAAGTGAAATATGTTTACATAAATGCTTGACCAATAGTTTTCTTTTTATTTGGTTTTAGTTTTAAAAATTAAAGATTGATTTATTTTTAAAGAAAGGTTGCTGAAGGTTAAAGTCAGTTTCAAGATAATGAAACATATGGGTCGGAAGTCAGAAAAATATTTGTTGCTCTTGTAATTATAAGAAAGAAATTGTGAGCAGCAGTAATTAATACCTAGTAAACTTTCTCTCGATAATGGTCTGAAGCGTACTAAACCATGAAGCCCCTTTGCCCGCCCCGACCTCTCCTCTAGTTGCTCGACGTGCTGCAGCAATACTGCATGGCCTCTGGACTCGATTACCGCCGCCTCGACGGAAGCACAAAATCAGAGGAAAGAATCAAGATCGTGAAAGAGTTCAACAGTACGCAAGATGTTAACATTTGCCTTGTCTCCACAATGTGAGAAAATGAAATTTGATAACTTGATTTTTATCTAATTGCCTTTAAGATTTAGGGTAATTTTAAAACTATTACTGAATTTTCAGTGGTTAGGCTTCTATTGCTTTGTTTTATTTGGTTTTAAGGAGAAGCAGCAAAGATGCTATTAATTGTGATTGAAATAACAATTTCTTCAGTTTTACCTAACCTTTTCTCTCGGCTCCCTTATCTTCACTGAATTCCCCTTTATATGTCTACACTTATAAAGACAGTAATCCAAAAATTCTATTTTTTAAAGGAATTTTCTCTGGTAGTGTTTTCACTCATGTCCATGGTCAGAACGAGACTGAATTAAATAATTGAGTTTTTAATCAAATAACAGAAAATCATTTGTAGTAATGGTTTGCAAACTGTGTTCAAGGAGCCCTAGTGAGCTCACAGGGCCTGCTGGGCCAGGCATTTCCCTGCTTTGTCTCTGCCTGGTATCAGCTGGAGGAACTCCACATTTATAGGTTTTACCCAAGTTAAATCAGTTCTAACACCTGTTTACAAATCTCTAATGAAAACCTTTTAAAGAATATACATACTTTAGAGGAAGAGTTAAGTCAATATAAACTTACCTAAGGAAAATTCATCTTTTGGGGGGGTAACAAATTCTTAATTATTGGAATCTAATGTAGTATTTTATAGACTTGCTCCCATTGTCTTTCAAAAAGAATATCAAGGGGTTTTAAAAAGAAACTTATGTAAAATGCAAAAAGTAGAAATAACTCAAAAACTATTTAAATGAGGAAGAAAATGACATATATGATGAGTGAGCTACTTACTGTTGAACACTGAAATTATTCTTGAATTCTTGCAACTAAGGCAAAAGGAGAGAAGCTCTGGATTCCCAATTTCCTGTGAATGAATTCAAATTGTAATTTCTCACATGAGTCCTTATATGCAGAGTATGAAATGACATAGAATACTGTCTTTGGTTAATTTTAATTTAAAAACACACAAGTATTCTTAATTTTTAAATAATGTTTTTCAAAATAATAAATGCCCTCAACAGTTCAAGTACAGAACTTATTATAAGCAGTCATCTCTCAGTCAACTCACCCCCAGTCTAATTTGATGAAATCTGCCACAAAGCTCCTCATTATCTCTCAAATTGCTATTTAATCCATCCAACTAGTTTTCATGTTCCGAAGTTCTATTTGATATTTTTCAAGTCTGCCTGATCATTTTTACTTATATTTTGTTCTTTATGGTTTCTAGCCTTTCTTTTATTTCTTTAGTAATTTTAACCTTTTTTTAAAAAATACCTTTTGAATGGCATTTTTGCTTTATTACCTCCTGTACCTTCTATCTGATGTGTCCTCTAGCTCTTGCTTATGGTAGATGGTATCTTCACAGATTTTTAAATTTTTTTATTTTGAGCTTATCTTCAGTGGGTCTTTTTCCTCTTTGGAAATCCTTTGGTTGTACAAGTTTTCCACTGGTGTGGTTTTCCTTTGACTGCTGCTAGGCATCCCAGCTAAGGAAAAGGAAATTGCTTTCAATTCCTATTTTCCTGTGACTAAATTCAAGGAGTAATTTGTTGTATAAGTCTTTACACAGTAAAGAATCTTACATAACGTAATAAATACATTCTTCAGCTGTGTTTTGCAAAAGACATAAGCTTAGTTTTTGTTTTGTTTTTCTCATTTTGCAGTAGTTTATATTTAATTCCCAAGTGTTGTAGCAGAAGAATTATCACATTAGCTTAGTCCATCATTTGGCCGGAATCATCCTAAGTCTTCATCTTTTCATTTATCAGCATTACACAGCTTGGATTCTGTTATGAAAGAGGACGACTTAGTCTACTTTCACTACTCTCACCCCACTTTTAATACACTCATTATTTTTATTATATACCTATAAATTAGTTTAGTAACTTTATATAATGTACTTCAACTTTTTATATTTTAGTCCCTCTACTTCCTGCAGTATCTTCTAAGTGCTTGTAATGGGTGGTACTGGCATTAGCACGCATCCACCCTTCTACTTTTGTCACCTGTTTATATTATCCATCAACTATTTTAACTTTTACCTCATTGTGGTTATTAGGAGTTTTCACAGGATCCTACAGAAATAACCAAGTCTTCCATGCTCTACCCATAGGTTGGCTCTAAAATGTAGGGGCTAAAAAATAGCATTTACATTATTATTATTTTGTAAACATTGTTTAATGCTGGGCCACAGAATGCTAAGGTAATTTCTCTGAATGTTTGTGACCTCTTGGCCAATTCAAGGAGAACAGTCTTAACATCAGCCTCAAATGAATTCTCATTTCTAACACTTCATTCATCGTATGTTTACACAGTTCAGTTTAGTTCATATTTTAATCACAACTTTCTTACTGCTTTTCTCTCAGTGTGTTTTTGCCTTTTATAATAATAATTTTCAATATATTACTAATTCCCTTTCACACTTTCTCTTCTGTTGACTCCTCTGTATCCTGAAGAACTTCCCCCTGAAGTCTTTTGTGCTCTGGTTTTAATCTGGACTGGTGTTCTCTAGGCCTGATAAGGAACTATTATCCTGAAGTTTTCTTTCACTGCTCTTCTGCATTGGATCCACTTTTACTGAATTTCATGCCATCTTTATTCTTGGTTTGCCTCCTTGATTCGCTGGAGAATATCAAGTAATTTTGTAAGTCAGGATTATAGAAAATAAACTTTCTGCATCTTATATCAGAAACTGTTTATTATGTGCCCTCTCAGTTCCTACTGTGGACAGCTAAATAATTTTAAATTGAAAATAATTTCCTCACAAATCATGGGAAGTCATTAAAGCATTGTTTTCTGGTATTTAATGTTGCTTAATAGATGTCTAAGGCCAGTCTGACTTGCATTCCTCTTTGGGAACTCACAAGAGTTTCTCTTCATCTATGGTATTCTGAAATTTTATAGTGATATGTGAGTCTTGGTGTGGGCCTTTGTTCATTTCTTATGTTGGGCACAATCTGAAGGCTTGTATTCTTTTTCAGCTCTGGAAAATTTTCTTTGATCATTTATTTGTCAATGGCTTCTCTCCTAATTTCCAGTATCTCTTTCTCTCGCATGCCAGGTTGTCAGATTTTAGAGCTCCTATGTTGATTCTCTAAATCTCTGAACTTTTCTTTCATGTTTCATGTTTTTATCTTTTTGCTCTATATTCTGACACATGTTATTTTCCAATCTTATTATTTTATTTGAAATAATTAATTTTTAGTCTAAAATTTTTCTTACTTTTCAAGCTCTTTTGCTCTCTGAATTATCTTCATTCTGGAATATCAATACCTTAAGCCTAGCTTTTCATAATCATCTCATTCAATTAATTAAAGAAGGGTCATTTGACATTTTTCCTTGGGTTGGGATTTTTATTGGAATCACTGAATTAATAAAAGACTTTGAGAAAAATTGGCATTTTTATGATATTGAGCCTTCCTATCCATGAACACAGTATCTCTACATTTATTTAGGTTTTCATATAAACAACATTTAAGTGGTATTTTATTTGACCCTCTATAATAGTTAGCACCTAACAATAAAACTTAATTCATTGAAAGCATTTTTTGTGGAATATTAAGATATAGTTAAAGTATAATTTTTTACATACCTATTTGATATAAGAATAGAAGGACCTGAGGAATGAATAGCCTTCATGCTCATTATGGGTCTGTCTTAATACCAGTCCTCAGCTTGAAGGGTCTACATTTTTTTTTTTTATTGCTTACAGCGCAGGCCTTTGCTGTTAGTCATATAACAACAGAGTTATAGATTTTAAAGTTTAAGATTCTGAGTTGCATTATCATGAAACAGAGAATCATCTCATCTCCAGAGATAGAGTTTAGTAGAGATTTTTTTTTTTTTTAAAAAAAGGAGCTTTGCGTCTGTTGTAACTCTGCCAGCCTTCAGTTATACCTTCAGAATCTCTCCGGAGATTGCTACCTCAACTGGTAGAGGCCTTCCTATGGCTTAAATAGGGCATCTGAGGTAAATTCATGTCAAGCCTTACTGACAAGAAGCTAACTGAACCAGTTGATTAGATTTATTTTTGGTGTTGTTCATTTAGTGTTAGAAAATAGTTCTTAATTTTTAATTTTATTTTAGATATATTTTGTTGATTTTTCATATAATTATGTAATTATATAATCTCATGGCTCTTGTTCCTTCCATTTTTTCCATCACAATATTAGATAAACTTTTAATTTCTCTTGTGCTCGCTTTGGGCCTCAGTCCTACTCACTCCCCTAATTTACCCATTTTTTTATTCTTTTTTTTTT